TATAAAGTGCTTGCAGGAGATTTGCTTTCTGCTGTGAGCGGTTGTGCATAACAGCAAGGAGTTCACGGGCATTGCTCAAGCCCTTGGCTGGGACACTTAGTCCTTAAAAACTTAACTTGTTCTTGGAGGAGAGGCTCTGAACCATATTCAGAGCCCTTGTTCCAGAAAGGGGTTTCGATTCTGTAGCAAAAATGTCATGCCCCGTCCATGGGGTGAGTTGGGTGGGAGCTTGAGGGGTGGCTGGGGGGGCGCCTGGGCAGGGAGGAGTGTCAGCTCTAGGGAAGAGGGGAGCAAGGAGAGTGGAAGTGATGGGGGATTGAGACTGAGGTGACCACAGGGCAAGAGTGTGGCCAGGCAGGGCAAGGCAGGAGCTCTGTGGAAAGAGCCTGCTGATGCTTCCACTCCAGCTCTGGCTGCTTCTCAGTCTGTGGCCAGCTATGTCTCAGGTATGCGGCACCAAGGAGACCCCTTTTCTCCAAGCCCTTGTGAACCCAGTGGGAGTCCTGATTCCAGGAAGGTCTGATGAAAGGCTGGTCTCACCTGTTGCCGCTTTACCTCGTGTTAACCACAAGCCCAAAGTGTTTCTACCTCTCCAAATCTTCATGGGACCATCGTAAGAAGAGGGCTTTTCTTGCCAGCCTGGTGCTGAAGCAGCACTGGTAGGAACAGTGAGGCTGGCTTACTCAGCGTTCCTTCTTCCTCTTTCTTCTGTGGCAGTTGGTGCTGCAGCTGTACCATGTTGAAATTAACTGTACTGGTCCTTTTGGCATTTTAGCAAGAACTACTTCTGGGATGTGCGATAGTATTTAGTCATTAAAATCAAAGCCAGCCCTATGGGTTTGAACTTGGGTCTGTTGCATGGCAGCAACACATCCATTTTTTGAGGAAAACTCTTTGTCTGCAGTTGTCTAAAGCTTTGCAGTTTTCCAAAATAATGAGGTATGGGCTAAATGTAAGAGTTCTTTTCTCCTACTTCGCTTACTTTTTGCTTTATGCTGTATAAAACTGTATGTGGCCAATGTTGCAGTAGCCAGGTTATAGAAGCGTATGTCTATACAGGCTTCCAGTTACTACATTACAAGTTTTGCCCTGCAGCATCAAGGAATTGCAGTTCTGGTCATTCCCCATTACCTTATGTGATTTATGTCCAGCAGTAACTTCCATGCTTTCCCCTGACCTACCCCAGTTAGCCCATCTGTGTGATACATCAGCTCAGATATCACTGTAATGCTTTGGTATGTTGACCAAACAAGCTGACCTCATGTGTTTCTGTTGGTTTTGTTCTTTGCCTTAGCTTGGCTTTGGATCTTTCCTAGGGATTGTTGGCATCCACCTGGTAGAGAACAGAAGACAAATGGTAAGCAACGGCCCTTTTCATTTTCATTTTTTTCATATCAGAATGTCTTAAAAGCAAAAAAAAGCAGGATTTTCCAGTTGACTTAAAACTGCTGCATCTGCCTCAAAGTGTTAGTCATTTGTTTCACCACTTCTGAGAAGTTTCAGAGCACAAATTGGCCAGTGACTCCATCTGAACAGGGCAAGGGATGGTTTCACTTCTGACAGAAGCAGCCTGCTTCTTTTTACTGGATTACTTTCCTGATGGTTTAGTGAGTTGAATCGACGCAGGGCAGGGTCAGATGAATGCTAGAGCTTGGCCACAGCCAGGACCATGTAACTGGGAAAATGATGGGGAGAGAGACAAAATGCATGGGTTGTGCCAGTTTGGCCAGCAGCAAGCCACACGATCAGCTCAACCATGACAGGTGGTCTCATCCTGCGCAAAGAGTTTAAGTCAGGAACACTTCCCTGAAACTATATGTTTTCAAAAGAAGAAAAAACCCCAGAGCACTTTCTGTCAAGATTCCCTCCCTGGCTAGGTCAGACAGGATCCAATGACACTGTGTGATTAGTTTTTAGATTTAGCTTGGCTTTACAAACCCCTTGTTTTTATTTATGTGAGGAAGTCATAGGAAGTCCTTGGGGCATCTGGGTAAAGGAAAGTGTGTAGGACTGGATTTGTGGAAAGTCTTTCCTTGCTCTTGGCAAAAAATAGCAGTGTCTTGGTTGAATAACAGCATGTCCAATGTGCACTTTACAGTAGACTGATTATAGACAAGCATCATGAAATATGATTAATTTCATAATGCAGAGCCTTCACTGGTATAAATCAAGAGTGGTGTTAAGTTCAGAGGAGGAAATGGTGGATTTACTTTGCTTTTTACTAACAAGTAACTACTTTACTTACAAGTAGTCTGCTGTGATTTACTGTTCTTCATAAACACAGTCTTGTCACTATTTGTAGGCAAACTTCTTTCATAATATCATCTTTTTTACATTGCCTTTAAGTTTCAGCAATGTATTTGGAAGTATTCCCCTGCTTTTAACTTTTGTTTCTAGCTGGATTTCCCAAAGGAATGAGATTTATAAAGCCATGATGTTTGTCTGTGTCTTTCTCTGTTCCCCGTTCCATTTTTTGAATACGTTAACCAATTTCAGGCAAATTCAGCAGGGAGGTAGAGGCTTCAAAGGTGTGCAGTTCCTTCAGGTTCTATGAAAATTCACAGATGGGCAGAGGAGAGAATTATGAATTAATTCCTCTGTGGTGGTAAGGGCTGCAATGTCAGCTCACCTCTTATTAAACACTAGAAAATCCAAATGGGACATGACCTGTGAGACACAAATCTGCAGCAAACCAGGCCTTGTTAAAACAAAACAGCTTACTTGCCTTTAAAAACTATTGCTCTTGATTTCTACATCAGAGACCAGGATGAACAGCAGGTTCCAAGTTGCAGACTCAGTGGTGGGCAGAGGAAAATAGCTTTGTCTTCTGCGGCATTCACGCGACTTTACTAACAGGCATAACATTTAGTGTTTTATCTTTCAGTTTTCCTCTAATCTGCCTCTTAGTTTTCTGTCGCTTCTGTCCTTAGCAGAAAGTAGAATGGCTGAAAAAGATGTAAGGGTGGGGAAGCAGCAGTTAAACCATGTAATACTCAACGTGTTGTGTCATTTACACAAGGACTGCGGAGAAATAAGCACGCAGTATGTTTGGTATTAGTGCCTGTTTGCATTTCCCAGCATGGAACAAGGGAAACTGCTTTCTGCTAATAACACTTAGCGATGATCTGGCTGTGAAAGATTGGGTTTCTGGGGAACAGACCAATAAAATAACTAGAGAGCTTAATTATGCTTCTTGCCTCAAGTACCATCCACATTGGGCTAAGCCTTTTAACAGCGTCTTTGCTAAGGCTGAGCTGCTTGGTTTCAAACGTTACGGAAATGAGATTGAAAGGGTTTATGTCATACTACAACTGAGGGCAGCAATTATTCCCTGGGGTGTAACAGTATATTCGATTGCAAGGGTTTAGAGCAGCTTTAACAAATTTGCAGCCATCAATAAGATTGTGAAGACTTGTATAAGTACAGATATGTAACAGAAATGCCATAGTCCTGTAACTAAAAATTCTATACATTGCAGCAGGACAAAAGGGAGTGGGAAGGAAAAGAAATTGTTTACTCATTTGCTTCTATTTTAATTGGACTTCCTTTGAGCAGCTTCTGTAGTATAATTTGAGTTCAACCCAGTGTAGCTCTGACAATTGTGTGGCCCTTGTAATGACTCAATACCTTGTTTTTGTTTTTGTTTTTGTTTTTTTTTAAATTGAAAATAAATGTAGATTCAATTACACTAGAAAAAAAAAAAAAACTATTTTAAATTGACCTTTTCTCCATGAATCTATTTCTCTTTTTGTCTCGAAGTTCTATTTCCTTGTGACCTATCCTCTGTAAGTCCAGATTTATTCATGGTTGATGAAATGCTAAGTGCAATATGAAATATGTAACGGTTAGCAGAACTGTCCAGCAAATATCCAGCACTCAGTAAATGTGAGCACGGGCTTTGAGGAAGAATGAAAGCACAGTTTGGCAGAATGGATAATGGTTTGTTCTTAAAAGACAACATTAATAACATTGCACCTCTTTGACCTCATTCTTGGCGTCCCAGGCCCCACAGCGGGAGTTCAGTGTGCTGACCAAGGTATAACCCTTTAATTCAGAGGAACTGCTGCGTGCAGAAGCAGGCTCTGCCTCATTGACTAGCATGATTTCACTCCAGCTCTTAGCATTCGTGCTTGGCTCTGCTATGCAGAACTTGGCACCGGTGGAACAAAATTTCCCTTTGACTAAAGTGTTGCCCTGATTTGGGATGTTTCTAACTGGCAAACAGCAGAAATGGAAGAATAACGTGTTGCTCTCTGGTTTTGCCTCTCTTGCCCCCTGCAAAGCAGGTCATGGATTGAAGAACAGAGTATAGCCACAAGTTGTTTTGTTTCAAAGGACACTTAGTCCAGCCGGATGGGTGGAAAATATGATACCCCTCAAATCAAATGGATTTAGTTGTAAGACATGCAATATCCTGCTTGTTTTCTTGCTTCGTGTCTCCTCGCATTACAGTCCAAAGTATTTCCAATTAGAAAATGAGCTGCTGAAATTGCATACGGAGGTGGGGAGGCTGGATGTGCAGGGGGTTCATGGCAGTAGAGCTGAGCTGAGAGCAGTAAGTAGGGCTGAGGGAGTGCTGTAAAAGGTTTCTCCTCAGATAAATGTGGAGGTGGTATGAGCTAGCACCCAGAAATGAAGCAGTCTCTAAATGTGCAATGTCGATAAGACACCATGCATGTTGTTTTAGCTAACCCGATGGATAAACCAAGCACTGGCTCACAGTTTCCAGTCACACGTCTTTCCAATGCCAGTCTCATCCAGACGTGCTGTTCACAAGGCTGAAAATGAGCATGCTGAAACTGTGGTGCCTGCAAGAGTGATGAGAGATGCAAGGGGACTGTAGTAACTGTCAGGGTTTTCAACATTTGCAGTATCACCATGCTGCCTGCAAGAGCTCTTTGTAGGGTCACGGCAGTCGCCCCGACAGCAGCGCAGCTGTGGTAGAGAGTGGCAAAGGCAGGACAGGGGTGGGAGGAGGTGCAGGAGCGTAAAGGACACAGGGAGGGGTCAGAGAAGCAGGAGTGACCCCTCAGGAGGTGTGAGTTAGTGCAGACCTCAATACTACTTACGATGGAAGACAGTTGTCTGCAGCAGGTCCAAGACCCGAATTAATCCATTGCTGAGTCTTCCTTGTTTTTTCTTCATGCTAACGCCACAGTTAATTTTCTTGCTGACATGTCTAGAACATACTCAGATATAAATCTAATGCTCAGCTGGCTCAACCTGGTCCTTGAGTTGTTCAGAGAGATGGTTGTAGTGATTTTAGCTGAGGAGACATTGCTTCTGACAAAAGTGGAATTGGAAAACGTGAGGGAGGTTAAAACACAGAGCTCCGCGCACAAACAGAAAAGGCAAAGCTATTTCTTCAGACTCCTCAAGGGATGCTAAGTTTAGGTGCCTTAATATGCTTGCTTCGTAATCTCTGTCAACAATAATTAGATTTCAAATTAAGTGCTGAAAAGCAACTATAGCAGAAGTTGGAGAAACAAAGCAATAATTTTCTCCTCTGTTTTTAGTTAATAGACTTCCCTGACAGTGCATGCATTCCTACCCTGTGTTGATATGTATGTGAGGTAGTATTTCAGTATTATCTGTGATTATTTTCTTACCTCTAGAATTTGCATCTGTTTCAGAAGAAAAGCTTTTTTAAAGGAGTTACATGTGTGAGCCATTTTTCAGAATTAGAAGAGCCAAACCTCTTTTAGTTTTCAAACCTGATATGTGTTGTAAATCAATTATGTCCATCAGAAAATGCCATTGGACATTTTGTGTAAAGGTAGTGGTTATTAACATGTACACTAAAAAAAGATACTGATTCGGTTACCTACTCTGTTCTGTTCAGACATGGGCTTCATCTTCTTTTTTCATGCAAATTGAACATTCTGGAAGAAACTGGCTTTAGTGCAGATTTTGATCAAAGATGCTAATTGCTGATAGATTCCATATAACATATTAAGCTAATTACAGCAGCTTGTTGTTTACATAAAGAGAAAAACCATTACAGTTCTGTAGATCTCCTGAGACTATCTTTGATGTTCCTGAACAAATAAATGGAAGGAGTCTTTACTGTAGTGCAAAGGAAATGCAGATAACATAAAGGCAATCATTGTCATTACCAAGGTAGTATTTCTCCGTTGAAAAGCTTCAGAGAAAGTCAACAGCACTTCTTTTTTTTCAGTGATTGTTTTTTTGTGTGCTCATATTTCACATAGTTCAGGAAAAATCAATTAAAGCTGATGTAAAAATGATAGTAATGGAACAAATTAGCAATCATCGTTTAGCACCTTTAAAATTATTAAAACTGAAAAGACCTATTACGTTTTTTTCAGTCATAAATGGATGCTAGATTTTGTGGTG